CACGCAAACACACACGTACACATGCACACAAACATGCGCACACAAGCATACACACACACACACACACACATAACGTAGGGCGTCATAATATGAGCCTCTGCATGCAAATGCGTGCAAAAACGAATAATAACTAGTACGAAATACCGTTTCGATGCAGCAGGAAAAAATGTAAATGGCCTATTTCTCGTTTCAAATGCCATTGCGCGACTCCTTATATGTTGAGGAGTAGCAAAAATGAAGCCGTCAGTGTGCCCCAACAATGCACTGAAGAGGAAAAAGCCGAGTAAAATGGATAAGCAAAAGGCTACAGGCAAAGTAAGACTGGTCTGCTTGTTTTTATTACACCATAAAATGAAATAGTTTCAAAATCTCCAATTTTTGTTCAGTAGTTTGAGTTTTGGGACTCTCTAATGCTTTTTTTTTAATCCCGGTTTTTTTGTCCGATGACTCGGGCATAACTGCTTCCCCAGCAATGCTTATTTTCAGCCTAAAGTGGAGCCGAAAAAGACGGAACCGAAGGAGATTCGCACATCCGAGCCGCCGGTGAAAACAAAAATCAGTGACCTACTGAAGGCCAAAGCAACCAAGATATCACCTCCGAACAGACCAGCCACCGAAACGCCACCAAAAACAATTGAAACGCTCCGGAAGATTACCACCACCTGTGAAAAAAAGGCGACGCGGACGGTACTCTATCAATAATACTTAATAATATGACTGCAACTGCATAATATGGGGACACAACTGTACCGAAATGAAACGCACTTGTAGTCGGGGGCAGCCAAAATCAGGTGGCTGCGCTTCTGAGGTCGAACTCCGGAAATATATTTGGGAAAAGCGCAAACTACGTAAGCGGAAATATATTTAGGAAAAGCGCAAACTCCGGAAATATATTTGGGAAAAGCGCAAACTACCACACGTACACACATATACAAACGGCATCTTTTAAAGAAGCATTTTCCAATTTCCAGCCGCTTGGTTTCATGGGTCCGGAATAAAAGGTTTTGAGCGAACTCGGAGCTAAATCAAGGCTTGAAAGTTGATTCAAAGTTGTTTGCTTCAGAACACACAATGAACATATCTGCCAAAATTTCTGTTTTGTGCTTTTCATGGCTTCTGGGACAAAATTAAGCTAAACTTGGGTCTGAAATCATGGGTTAAGCGGCAGTGAATATTGGAAACTGGTTTATTTGCTGCGTATTATAAAGTTATTTAATTGAGCAGAATCTTACACTTGGTTCTCCCCTGCTTCTTGTGTTGGTAACTCGTTTGGATCTGAAGTTGAGGAAACAAGTCAAGATTTATGAAGCGATGTTAGCTGGCTCCGGATCTGTGGCCTTGCACAACGTCAGGCATTGCACCACCAAAAATTCAACATTCCAGCTTCAGTAGATTTGGAACGGAATTATGCGGACACAGGTACGCGCTACATACATACCACAGAGGTGGCCCGTCTTAGCGTGAATTCATGTACAGAAATGCAAACTCTC